AGCAAGAGCCAGGGCAAAAGAAATGATCATCTTCATCATTGCCGACCCGGCCACGTACTAAAAAATGTGAGATATGGCGGCAGCAGGCCAAGGTTATAGTTATAATTGGCCCAAAGCGGGCCCAAAACGAACGAGAGGAGCAGCCCATAAAGCAGCGAGAGGAGGCGGTGACGTGCCAGCATCCCAAGAGCCACCAAGGAACCGAGAAACCGAGAAACCTGGTCCAAACAAAACCAGAGATGATGGCCAGGATGCCCAGTGGTTGGTGTCTGCCCTATGCCCACAGTGATGCGCACGTGCTTAACCTCTGACTTTGTGTTCGGCCATCATCATCATCAGCCAGCCAGCCAGTCAGCCAGCCAACTTCGGCGGCAGCTTCTTCAAGTGGTAGTAGTAGCCTGGCGATTAGCCGCGGATTGTTGGAACCGTCGAGGAGCAGAGGCCGTGAGAGGTTGTTTATGGCCCGCCCCGGGCACGCCCACTTGGTGGGGCGGAGGAGGGAGGCGGGGGGCGGCAGGCTGGAGTGCGATACCTTCACAGATGAAAGGCATATTGGGTATTACTTTCGGATGGGTTAAAGGGATGCAAGATGCAACCTGTGATGGGTTTGGTACAGATATGGACAGGCGGATTATTTGTCTAATTATTTGCAGAGAGTGATTTATCCAAGGAGTTTTAAGGGAGATTATGATAAATTAAGCTGTATTCGGTAGATATTCCTTTTTAAGCACAAACTAAGCTAACAAGGTTTTAAATAAGATAATATCTTACTTAAGGAAGACCTCGTTTTAATCACAAATTAAGCTACCAATATTAAGAATCAAAGAAGAAAAAAAATTTTTTTTTTAAATAAGTTAGCCTTAAGTTAGCTTCTGGGTCTAAACAAAATCTAAATTCATTAAGTATCTATAGATACTAGTATACTAGTTTAAAGGGTACAACTTAAAGAAACCTAACTTAAATACTGTAGGTTTTTCTTAAACAAGTATTGTAGGATAAATCAATAATTATTACAAAATGTTAAGCAGTAAAATATTTGTTTCTTTTCCAAAAGAATGATAATGATAGATTAATGCTAAGCTGATCCTAAAAGATAAAACCCAAAATTCATTTATTAAAGGACACCAAATAAAGAATTTTGCTACGATTTATAATGTTTTTAGTTTTTTACTGCTAAAGAATACCGTAGTGCCATAAATATTTATCCACTTGACTGCACTGCCATATTTTACCATATTACTGAATCAATTTCTCATGCATTCTGATAAAGTAACTTGCATATGAAGGCATACTTAACTATTTCAGGACGACGTGTGGCTGCACATTTTCCAAGTCAGTGAACCCCAAAGAGATTTTTTACTGGAGAAAAGGAGCTGAAAGAAGTCCACGTCCACCCACGCACCTCGAAAAAGGACATCTTGCAGCATCCATCCATTGGCAGACTAAGCAATCTATTTTGCGAACCGTTGACAGGCCTTTGTAATACCCCTTCGAAGAGTGAAGAGCGGCGGTCATGGCGCAGTGACCAGTGGCCGGCAGCCAAAAGGACAATTCGCAGGACATCGTCGCCTGGCTGGCTGCAAGCCAACTGTATTTACTGCATATTTACAGGGCAGCTCATAAAAAAAGGGAACAACTGAAGGCAATGTGATTGCTTTAATTGCGCCACAAACTGAACTGGAAATTCAATTTAAATGGGAATTGCTGACAAGAATTTCTTCGGAGGAAGATGGCAGGCACACAATTTCAATCTGTTCTTTTCATAAATACGCAAATTTGTCCCCTGAGGCGGATGCAAATATTTTGCCAAGACACTTCCATTTAGCCGTGCCATCCGTTCTTTGCAGGCGCATAAAAATGCCAGCATAGCCAAAGTGCAGGGAAAAATCACAGAAACTGTCTCCCTGCAGCAAGGATACAACATAATCATCATCATCATCAGCAAGGATAACCGGCGATGCTGCGTTTGTGCGATTGTCTGCGCATTTGTAGCCGACTTACAGGAACCGCGGCGCCAGAAACTACTAAAAATAAAGTTTGCATTTTGTCTATTTGTTTCCTGTCGCCTTGTCCCAGTCCCGTGTACGTATCCTCATCCTTTGGCGACATTTCTCGCTTCCCGCCAGCAACATAAACACAGAAACTGCCATAAAGACAGGTTGATGCAGCATTGCAGCTGGCACAAATCCGAAGTATAGCTTTTATGTTGTGAGAGAGGTTAAATAAACCTGTTTTTTACGGATTCACTAGGATTTTATTAACAACAGAACGGTAAGAATGTTAAAAATGGGGAACCCTAAAACTAAGCTTTTTAACTAATCTTCCTCCTTCATTCATTAAAGTACTCTTAATTAATACCTGGTACACCCTCAGAATATCGCTTAGTTAAATTTAACCAACTATCTGGTGGTTTCTTTCCCAATGCATTTTTCCGTAAGCTTCTAACTTTTTTGCGTCGAATTCCCCACTACTTGTATAGTAGTTTTCGCTGAATGTGTGTTAGAAATACAAGGAAAACCCTAAGAAAGTATACATATTCAGGATTATTAGCCTAGTCTCTTTGTAAGAATGTCAAGACTCGATAACTCGACCATTTTTGAAATTTTGTTCAGCAATAATGGAATTAATTTTCCAACAGAATTGCCCAAGAGCCATCTATGTAAAAATATTTGCACATTAGTTTCCCAAGTGTCCAACAGAGTAGCCGATATCTGACTTTGAATAGCTGACCGAAGCTAAGAAATATGAAACTCTGTCACAAATGTATGTGTAATAATGTAAAAGCAACAAGTTCAGCCAACAGACACTAGATGTCGCTCAATTAATGTAAGATAATTTTTAAGTGGCGCCACCTTTGTATGTCATACCTGGAACATTTTACGTGAGTAGAATGTAAGATGTAATGTAAGAAAGATTTTACAACATCGATATCGAGTTAATATCGATAACCGCTGATTTCTTAATTTAAATCCAAAATAGGCGCCAAAAATACAATGGCGCAATTATATTACATTTGAAAGATCTATTTAAAATTGTTATATATGTAAATGAAAAACCAATTGACCGAACGGGAAGTGGCAACTCGGGTTGGCGCTAACATTTTAAATTTTCAAGCCTATCAAGTAATTTCTTTTCCATATATGATTCTAAACCACATCTATCCCATAAAATATTGACGTACATACATGCTAGTTCCATAATCTGTGGTTGATATTAATGATAATATATATATATTTCTTGATATAATTATAATAAGTCCAACTTTATGTTACGGCATTTTATCTGGTCGTTAACTTCTTTGATTAACTAGCTGACCCCTTAAGTGGCAGTCTAGAAAGAAACTTAACTTTTTCCTTAAGAACAGGAAAGTTAGTTGTGCCTATATACCCAGCATATCGGAAAACAGATTTCGGTAAAACCCCTAAACCACACACTCTACGGAATTTCAGGTAAGTTTCAGCGAGCAAACTTGAGAATCCTTTACGGATGCAATTTGGAATTAATTATGCGACGCTTGCTTGCCACTTGGCCGGGAACTTTTGGGGGCAAGCCGGAGGAGACCAGCTTGTGCTGAGGTTACAAATTCTCATATGTCGCCACACACAGGACGAAAAGTGATGGACAGAAGGATACTCAGGGAGGTGACGGGGGATTGGGGATTGGCAACAGTTGACACAAGAGCATTTAACGCTTCAGCACGTTTTCAATTCAATTTCCACTGGCACTACGAGTAGAAGGCCGCACCAAGGAAGCCGAGGCGTTGGAGCGTGCGAAAACTTAAGCAGACGCACCGAGCATGACAAACGAGGCTAAGGACAATGCCGGCAGGATAATGATAATGAAAGCGAATTATGGGCGCTGCAAGGCGGTGGGTGGGTGTGTTTGGTCGAAAAAGAAACGGAAGCCAGTGCTTAATGAAGATGCCTCGCAATAAATCAACAAATTACGCGGAAAGGGCTGCTCGAAGCCTTTGTGTATCTTGCAGATACCAAGATACACGGCCATATTTGTGCGCAGAAACAATAAGTGAACCGCTTAAAAATGCATAAATCAAGGCGCAAAACGCAGCCAAGGGAACTGAAACAAAAGCGTAGCGAGAAGCAACTGTCAAAATGATAATCGCCAACAACTGTTGAGGCTGTCTTGGCCTTATGACAAATGTTGTCGACTCGAAAAGGGGGTGTGTTTCAGCACCCATCACGCATTACTAACCAGAATCAATGTACGGCTACAAGTTTGAAAAACACATTTTTCTTATTAGTTCGCTTTGTTTGAGGGGGACCGTGGCAAGGCTGAACTGATCCATCCATGTCGGTCATAATCGTAAAAGCAAATGCAAAACGCAAAAGCCAAATTCCTGACAGGACGTTCCCCCAATTGTCAACCCCTTAATCCACTTGTTTCCCGAGCCCATAATACTCTCTATGAGTGATGCCCATTATCATAATCTTATGAGTGGTGGTGGGTATTCCAATCAGCCCAGCTGACCATTTGCAGAAATACCTTCCGATATCTTTTTGAGTATTTTGTTTTGGGATGAAATCTCGCAATCGGCTTATCAGCGGGACCCGAAAACAGTCTTGGCAATTAATCATTGCTTAAGTAAACATAAATAGAGAATTGATTAGTATAGCAACCCAGTCAATTTTTGTTTCCATTTGGGCGTTGGAAATTTGCACTTGCCTACAAGTTAGGGATTACTTTATGTCTAATATTTTCCTTAACTGAATTCAGAAGTTTTTATCGTAGATAAGCTCATTTAAAGTTAAAATAGGAATAAGGTGAAGGTATCCAAATATCTTAGTCAGGGAATCTTAACTCTGATTTAGGGACCCTTTTGACGATCTTATGAAATATACAGAAATGATGTGAGTGGCAAACATAGAATCGAAATGACAAAGTCAGCTCAATGATCAAAGTAAGACCTTACTTGGAGCTTTTAGTTAGAGTTTTTCAGCTATTCTCTTTCATCCAATGTTCTTAGGTAAACAAAAAAAAAAATGAAAGAACTCCAAGAAGGCAACTCACCGTTCAAGACAAAAAGCACCTATGATAATAAACTCAAAGTTTGGAGTGGTGGGGAAAAGCGGAGTTTATTTTCCCCCAACTTGTCCATCGGAGAGATTATATATCGGCAAATGGAGCAGCATCCAAAACTCCTTGCTCAGGTTTGTATTACATTTAGCAAATATATTAAATTAATTTGGGCGGTATCCATAGATCTCACTTACGGAGGGCACTGTGCTCACTTGGGAAGATCTTCAAGCAAACTCAATTCGAGTGTCAAGTTATATGCGAAACTGGGACCTGGAGCAAGGTGATTTTGTAGGGACCATAGGCAGACTCACCACCCACTTGATGGCTCTGGCTTATGCCTGTTTCTTCAATGAAACTCGGTACCACACACTGAATACGATCAACCGATCATCGAGAGACTATTCGGAATCACCAAACCCAGTCAAATTTTTGTGTGATGGATATGAGTTTGAAAAGGTTCGAAAAGCCCCTACACATTCGTAGCTTGAACATGAACAACTCGCACCCTGGACTGTTTCTCGGATCTACTGATGATCATTATTGCTGGCATGTTCAGTACAACTAGTATTATTGTACACAGTGACTTCGATTCTAAACTATTATGCAGCATAATTCCGAAGTATGAGATCTCGTTGGTGCTTTTAAGTTTTTCAAACTTAGCCAGGTTTGCCAACAGTCCGAAATTCGAATCAAGTGATCTAACTTCTGTAAAGTACTTTTTTTATGGAAGTTTAAACTGTTCCCTGGCAGTTCAGCATAGAGTGCGCAACCGTTTTGGCCACGATTACTTGTATTTTTGTTATTCCCTTACAGAACTAAACTCCGCTGGATGCGTAAGCTTTAACTTTGATGAGAAACCCAATTCGGTGGGGCGTCCTCTTAAGGGAGTTAAAGTTAAGATAATCAACGAACAAGGCGAGGCTCAAGGACCTAATAACGTTGGTGAGATTTGCTTCAACAGCGGCAAAAAATGAGTTGGCAACTATAAAAACCCCGAGGAGTCTAAAATAATTCGGGACTCCCATAACTGGCTTCACACTGAAGACCTGGGGCACATGGACGAGGACGGATACCTATTTGTTATTGATCGCTTAAAGGATATACTTAAGTATCAGAACATCATGTACTATCCCAGTGAGATTGAAAATGTGATCGCTGAAATGCCAAATGTGGTCGAGGCTTGTGTCTTTGGCATATGTGACCCATCGAATGGAGAAAACCGGGAACCCAACTGGAGGCCCAGAACCACGTTAGAAAACATATCACTACCAAGTACAAGCCGCTGAATGCTGGTGTTTTTATTGTGGATCAAATCGCAGGAAGTGAAAATAGAAAAACAAACAGATCAGCAGCAAAGGCATACTTTTTACTACATTTCAACAATAATTAGAATGATACGTATTATTATTATTTTATTTTGTCATTTTTTTTTATCAATTCCAAACAATATATCAACTAATTCCTCACGCACTTATTATTTCATTAAATCTATACCAGAAATTCAATACAAGACGAACCGCTCCCTTAGTTTCCTCCAACCAACCCCTTGTCGAAAAAACTCGTCCATTAAAATATGCGCATATGTAATAAGTAAACCACTAAACAGACACCAAGGAGTCGCTACCAAAATCGAATCAACCACTTAGCACCCAATTGAAAAGTGTGACCCAGTTTTAAAGGGCTTTTAAAAGAAGATTTGGCAAACGCTTAATGTAATTGCCGAGGTCCATTTGCAGCTTCAACATTTCGACATATGAGGAATATTCGAATGGTTTTATAGGACCCAAGCACATATGGGAGAATCCTTCGTAATGGATGCCATAATTCCGCGCTAATGTTGCAAAAATCTGCAAAGCTGGAAGAACAGCAGCAACAACAACACAGTCCCAAATAGTGACAACAATAGAAACTAAGCTCATAAATTACCATGACAATGGAATTATGCTCTAATCCACCCCGAAAAGTTATTGAACTCTCCGGCAGAAATTGAAGCCACAAGCGTAAATCTTGCCTGCCTGTCATAAATTTCGCTGTTTTCGCATTCGATTTTGGTTTTTCGATTCAAATGGAATAGAATATTATTTATACGCATGAAGCAATGGCAAAAATGAAATCGCAATTTTAATTCAATTAGCCCGAGTAGAAATAACCAAAATGGATACCATTATTATTCCCTCTTCTTTTTTTCAACAATTATTTCTCGTTTAAGGCAGGCTTCGAGAGGAAATCTAGAGTAAATTTATTCCGCATGATTAATTCAAGATTCGATTTTGAAAATCAACAGCAAATAAAGGTGGGCTTGTGGGTGGGGTACAGCCCCAAAAAAGATGAGCACAGTAAAATATTTGTTCAAGGTGTTTGAACTCGAAGCGCAGGCAAACGAAATCAAAGAAACGACGTCATTACATATGATAATGCAGTCAAATTGACAGCAGAGAAAACTAATGTTATGAAAATTCGATGAGCACTCAAGGCACAAAAGTTATATATTGTTTATTGGAGCGAAGGAAAAAGTGAAATACTTAATGGTTAAAGCGTTAAAGAATGATGGAATATTGAAAACTTTGGAGAGGAAGTCCTATGATTTATGTAAAATTCAAGTTTGGTAGTTAACCAACCATTAATAGGATCAAAAAAGAATGTTTTGTGGCTTAAGTATATGAGAAACAAATTATGCAAAACATTAAAAACAAAGAAACTCATTATTATTATCAAAGAATTTACCCTTTTAATAAGTTCTATATGTCATTGCAAAGTTCATTAACTTTAAGGGTTAGAATTGCAGACTAGAATAATGAACCAAAGATAAGCCAAGCTTTCAGCTGATCTAAATGCGGTGCTTTACAAAGATGCCTATCAATTTAATGGCATCCCAACTGCAATTCGAGTAAAATCCAAAGCGTAGATCAATCTAAAGCGAAGTCAATTGGGAATTTAGCTACAACCGCAACTGATCGAAGCACGGATGGTTGGGTGTATATGCCCAAAGGGACCAGCATATGCTGATGCCACATTAGATCGACGACCTACTTGTCAGTCTGTCCGCCTTTGTGGCACCAGCCGGTGATGTTTATCACCCAACTATGGACCAGTTCCAATCAGGGAGTCAAAGGGCGAAGGATACTCGGGGGAACTGGGAACCGGGAACTCTCGTAACTCGCAACTGGGATCTCGAGAATCCCGCGGCGCAGCACATTTTTCTGCGCATATGTCAGCATTTTTCTCAAATTGGAATCGAAAAATGCTGCACTAACAGCATTTTGTGGTTTTCAGCATAATTAAAGGCAGACGGAGAGAACCCCCTTTCAAACGCCCCGGACAGATCGTAAATGTCGAAAAACGTAAGGTGTCCTTTCGGACTGGGTTGCGAATGAAACGAGATTTGGGATTCATGAGGAGTGGTTGCGATTCGGGTGGCAGGGAGTGCAGTGTTCGACGAGTTAACAAAGCCATCAATGGACCATAAACTAAACACTTTTTAAATGCCGAGCGGGGGCTGGGCGAAGGACCTCGGAGAGTCCTTGTTACCATTGTCGAAATCGCACAGATGTTTGCTCAGCGCGAGTGTGATTTCGTTGCCCGGGATAACTGGGAGGGTCGCTAGTTAGTTATTAAAGGGTAGTTTTCATCATTTTCGAACCGCTCACAGTGGGACTCCACTCCCGGCAATTGGAACTGTGCCGCATTCGACCCACTGTACCCAGTGCATTCCAAGCTGATTAGATCTGATTTCGCAAGCCGATTCCGCCCTGTCAGTTGGACAGACAGAGACAGTGAAACAGGTTCCGGGGCAGGGTCACAATTTATGGCACCAGAAAACGTATTGGGCAACTTTAAATGCGGGTCATCCCATCCATTCCGCAGTGGATATTCTGAGGTGGTGGCAACTGGTGGTAATGATGGTGTTCTCTGGTGGTGACTTGGTGGTCGCTTCATTTGTGCAGCCTGGCTGAGCATACGCTGCACATCCGACTCAAAACGAGGAATCCGCCAAATGTTGCATGTTTTTCTTATGAATATGTTTTACAAGTGGATGTGGGCTTTTGAGGACCAAAGCTGATACTTCCTTTAGGGAAAGAAAAAGGAAAATACAATATAAATTTTAAAAACTCTACATATGAAAAATATTATACTCTCTTGTCAACTTTCCATCTTTATTCTTGTTTCAGACTGATGAAGGCAGCAATTTGGTGATCATGAAGTCCTGGGCATCTGTAGTATTATAATACTGAATTAGAATCTATTCAAAATAAGATTAATATAAGAAATCTTATTATAATTCAAAGATATAGAAGAATATTTGTTTTTAAAATATGTTGATTATTTTTAAGAATTTTGATACATGTATTTCTCTTCCAAACTTAATACAAATGCTATTACGCCCGGACACACACCCTGCAAGGATTCAGAACCCAAAGTGGATGTTCCGGTTCCGGTTCTCTGCCGCCTCTTCTGGCCCACTCGAAGAGCTCTTGACATTATGGTTATCCAGCAACCAAGTCCAACACTTGGCAACTGTTGCGAGTTCTGTTTGCGTTTCACGAGTTCGAATTGTGTGTTTGGGCTGCGGAAAATATTGCCACATCGAGGCACATAAATATTTATGCCGCATTCGATTGAAAGCTTCTCAAGCGTAAGCATTTTAGATAAAGTTCCAGCCACCACCCACCACCCACTCAGGTGCAGTTGTGGCATCGTTGGCGTTTTGCATATGACAGCAGAAAATGTTTTTCCTGGCTTGATTGCGGGCGAATGTGCGTCTCGAACTGATTGGACCAACGCACAAAGAACAGAACTGGAATCGAATCGCAATCGACATCGTCATCAGCCGATTTGTTAACCAAAACAAGGGCTCTAATCCGACTAAGACTAAACCGGAGGCAACCACAAGATCCACCACCACCACCACCAACCAATGCACCGGCCCTCGGGCCTTGTTAGAACCAAACGAGCGACCCTCGTTCGCGCATTTTTAATCCGTTTAAATGAATGACAGTCTAATTGGAGGATTTGGCAAGCTGAAGGACGAGCCGTAGCCAGACGGCTCCTTAATAGTGACAAAGTCCTTGCCATATGCTTGGAAAAAACCACATGTTATTCACGGTATTTAAACAAACAGCAACAGGGACTGTCGAGGTAGAGGACAACTACCCTCTAAATACTCCAGTTCTAGATCCAGATCCAGCCCTCAAAACGCATAGTCCTCCAACCCTCATACAATTAGGTTCTCGCCCTGCTCACGTGAAATCCAATTCGAATTTTTATTTAATGCGCGAAAAGCACTTGATTGGATGAAGAACAGGACTCGGGTTTTAGTTTACTCCGTACTCCAGGGAAATTCCGAGCTCTGAGGGGTGGCAAGTGCAGGATGCAATCCGTGTCTGTGTACCAAAACTCTTAGGAAACTTTACCATCAGCACAGTAATCTTACTGAGAAAAAAACTATGAATATTATATTTCACATTTCAAAAACCTGTTTATATTATATGGTTAAGGCTAAGAATTTAACACTCGATAACATCAAAATATTAAGTCAGGTTGGAAAAATTTCTACAACTATTGTTAAAAGGTTAGATAATTCTATGTGTAGGCCAAGATAAGGCCCGAATATTAAACACTATTTAAAACTTAAATATAATACATACAGAAAATGGTTTGAATATAATCCATAGAACAGAGACCAGTATAAAATTAAAGTTTAGACACCTCCAACTTATCTTAATAGTATAGAATATCCTTTTATTTTCTGTGCAGAGTGAGCTTAGAGTTCCAGGCGGCAAGAAGCTGTTTCCTCCAGGAGTTCCACACAAACCACAAAGATTACAGGAGACAGGCAGCACATTAACATCAACCAAGGCCACAATCTCCACGGAAAAGGTGTCTGCTGTCTCCGGAATAAACGTAGCCAGCTCTACGCTAAAATTGAAGCAATTAGCATTTACATTTCGCTATCTTACCAGGGATAATTGAAACCCGCCGAGGATGCCTTGCCCAGGCATAAGGAGCACGTAGCTGTGTCTAAACTCTAGTCGGAAGATTGTCATCTTAGTTTTTAATTTGCTTCCTGGGACATTTCCTTGCTTCCTTCCCATTTTCCCCGGGCTTGACTTAATCACACAAAGGCAATTTCACGCCTTTTTGCGCTTTGTCTCAGCCTGACAGCGGGGGAATCACTTTGTCACTTGGCAGTTTGATGTATCGACAGTTGCTAAACCAAACAGCCATCCCACCTAAAATACCATCCCTGCCTCAATGACAAGCCAAAATCTTTTAGTTAGCAATAGAGGGAGATCAGCAGGGGTAGATAAGCCTTTGGGTTTAGTGGAAATTTTGTGCTCGATTTGTATATCGGAGATTTTCGTTCATTTCTAAAGGAAATAAATACATCAATGGGCCAAGAATATATTAGGGATTTTCACTTGACTTCAATTGTGGACACGTGTCACATATGAGGGAGTGTAATTGAAATGGGGCAATTCTTGGTAATTCATGGTGAAAATACGTAATATACTGAGACAGTTTAGATAAGATATCTAGTCAAAAAGACAGCAACTAAGAACTATAAAAATTTTGTCATAGTAGAATCTATTTTTAATAGTTTTTATAATATATTTGGTTTAATAAATATTTAATTATTTTATTAGAAACCCCAAAGTAGTCTATAAATCAGCTTAAAAGGCAGAGACACTTCACACCAATTTAAAATCCCATCAGCTTATGGGCTGAGCCCGGATTGTTCGATCGGCAATTAATTAAATACAAACTAAACAATATTTTTAATGAAACGGCCATGGTCGAAGGCAATCATGTGTTTAATATTAATTTGGTCGACAGCCAACATGGCGGCCAAGCGAATTATAGGCTCCAGCACACAGATACTCATTCGAACCCACACACATGTGGCGCTGGTGGCTATAAATATTAATTAAAAATGCAACTCATATGGCAAGTGGAACAATTAGCACCTGAAAATATGCAAACATTAAATTGCCGCTGCAGCAGACTCACAGGACACACAGCCGCACACAAAAACTGCAACAAAAGAAGTGAAATTTAAATAATATATACGGATAACATATATATAGATACGTGGAATGCTTGGTAGCTGCAAACCTGGTCCACGACTGACCATAACAGACACATATTTTGTCCTGGCAATGGCCACATCCTCACATCCGGTCTGCCAGGATCTAGGGTCTAGCCGGGAAAAAAAAAGGATATGGGGGGAACAGAACGAGACGGAAAACGAACGGAAAACATTGCACAACTTGCTATTGTTGCATGTGTATATTTACGGGGCAGTTGGCACTTTTTCCACATAGAGCCAACCTTAACTGACAAATAAATATTTCAGTCCGTTGAAATCTTTCGGCGCTCAACAGTCGCCCACAAAACGGGGGAACCCCACATCGCTGTGAGTGTGTGTGTGTGGGGTTCACAATATGTAAAAGCTACGCGCAGCATATACTCAAAATCCAGAGCAGCAACAACAAGTGCAACAAATACAGCAACACAAAACATAGCCACATATTCACACAATCTCGCTGGCGCTGCTAAAAAATCGACAAAAACAACCTGTTCGGAAACACTTGCAACAAGGATATCAACGCCAGCAGAGACGGGGATAGAGCTAGAAAGAGAGGGCAGGTCCTGCCATATTTTTGGGGTGGCGAGGCAAAAAGAGAGAGCCGAAGAGCGAGAGAGAGAGCTACCAGGACCAAGCGCCGCCTCTTTTCGAAAAGTTATCTGCACAGAAATAGTGCACAGTGGGAAAAGCTAAGATATTTTGAAAATACAGTCATTTGGGTAAAATTTAAAAAAAAAATTCTACAGCAAGAAAAATCATAATTAAAAATGGTATAGTCTCTTAATGAATATTTTACGACCGCAATAATCAAAGTGCTATGAAATAATCCATTCGATTTGTGGCTTAAAGTGTTTTTAGTCTGTTTATGTATTTATAATTGTTCTTTAAGTTTTTTCCAATTTATTTATTAATTTTTATGATGTTGGTATTACTTACTTAGACTAACAAGAAGACTTATAGCATAAGCTGTCATGACCATTGACTAATCATTTCTATTATATTTCAATGCTGTACACAGGAACTTTGGAAAAAGGATAAAACTTAGATAATTTAAAAACAAAAAGACTTTTTGATCTAAGTCTTATAAATTTGACATTTTTTGTTGGATTTTCAGCGGCTTTTATATATATAGTACTAAATAATTTTAAATAAATAGTTTTAAGTTTTAGAAAATAATTTTATTCCATTTATTTATTATAAAACATTTAACCAAAGAGTGACTATCATACCTTCATAAATAGTTCCATTTATATTTTAAAAAAAATTAAAATCACATATTAAGTGCGGAAATATACAATTGCTTACATCCCACTGTGCCTGCATCACACAATACAGCCAGGCTTTCGAATGGGCCAACCAGGACTCGTCCTGGCCAGGCCCGCACAATAAAACCACAGAATATGTTCGCCAACTGGCAAAGCAGATGGACCGCCAAGAGACAGACAGAGTGGGCCAGAGAGAGAGAGGGAAGACCGCTAAAGAAAGAGAGGGCAAGCGAGAAAGCGAAAGAGCAGGAACATAAGGGTGGTGACCACCGCTCTCTGCAGGACCTGAATCTGAACAGACTCCGAGCAGAATCAGGACAGATGGGCCAAGTGCCGCGAGTGCGGAGAGTTGCTTTTCCCATTTGAATGGGACAATATGAGAATACGAGAATTCCAACTGGACGCGGTGGTGGCAGCGGGTACTTAAAGAGGAACAGATTGCGGGCGGCCAGCAGTCGAAACTGGAATTTCGAAACGCAAGGAACTAGAGAACCCAAGACCCCAGAACCCAAAGCCCAAAGAACCAAAAGCCAGTGAAAGTCGAAAAGTGTATTGAAGTGAAAATGAATCTGCTCATGGATAGCCTGCCGTCGCATGCGAATCCTGGCCAGCGTCGCTCAACGCCACCTCAGCACGCCGAACTGAGGATCTCCACATCACCGCAGCAATCGCCGCAGCAAAATCAAACAACTAATCACAACAATAATAATGAGACACTCACATCGCCAGCCGGTGGAAAGACCACTCTGAAACGCGCCTTTGATGTGGCCTTTTTGATGATGCCCGATGAGCGGATCAAGCAGAAGCAGGCGGAGAAGCAGGCCCGTCTCCAGGAGGCACTGCAGCATCATCACCACCAGCAGCAGCAGCAACAGCAGCAGCATCAGCAAATGAGCCATTATCCCACGGATTTGTCTCCCCGAGGAGCTTCCTCGCAGCCTCCTTCGCCGGCGGCTTTGGAGTACATCAGTCTGTTGGAGGCACGCCAGAGGTATCCACAGATCAGCATCCGTTCCCCGAGGGTTTATGATGATCCCAGTGTGATCATACCCCTGGTGGATTCTCCAGAGGCGCCCTCAACTTCCTCGCCACCACCTCCCATGCGCAGCGCTTTCACCAAGGTGGCCTCCTCATCGCTGTCTACTGCATCATCCTCACCTTCGACAACTTCCCGTTTGGAGTCACCCGTGGATGTTGGAGCTCCTCCTCTGAGTCCCGACCAGCTGAGCTGTCACTCGATGAGTCCGCCTTTGGTAACGCCACCGCCCAGGACCAACAGTGGTGGCCAGAACCCAAATCCCCTGCCGGCTAATCCCATTGTGTACCACAACTTCCGGCCGGAGTATCAGTTCAATGGAGCCTTCCAGGCGGTCAATCCCATGCAGGCTTTGCAGGCACAGCAGCGACTCAAGCAGCAATTGCTGTACACCCGTCCTCCAGGACCAGGAAATCCCAATGGAGGCGGAGTACCCATGCCGGGAAATTCACCACCAGGTCCACCGTCGGAGTTTCTGCATGGCTATCCGGGATTTGCTCCGCCACCACATCCATTCGCCGTATCCCAACCTCTGCAGAATCCCGCTGCTGCGGCCATACTCTCCACGCTGATTCCACCCACCTTGGCATCCACTTTCACCCTGACCGCCCAGAATGTCTGCGCCAAGTGCAATATAAGCTTCCGGATGACCAGCGATCTGGTGTATCACATGCGATCCCATCACAAAAGCGAGGTGGCCTGTGATCCCAATCGGCGCAAGAGGGAGGAGAAACTGCGATGTCCCGTCTGCCAGGAGACCTTCAGGGAGCGTCACCACTTGACGCGACACATGACCGCCCACCAGGACAAGGCCAGTGATCACCAGCCGCAGTTGGAGGACTCATCCTCCTCCGCCGGCGGAGATAACGAGATCATCAACGTGGTTGGAGGCACACCACCAGGTCGCCGAATGGGCGGCATGTCCAAATGATCGAAGCATTTCTTCGGATATTTTTAAGGCATCTCCCCACCACCCGCATCCGTTGGTTTAACCCATAACGCCCGTTTTCGATTGTGATATTAATTTTAGTTTCCCTCACGCTCCGATTTCATTTCCCTTAGCCTTAAATGTAGTGCAATTTGTATCTTAAATATCTCACTGGATCCCCCTGTACGTCTATTAATTCTATAACTTATCCAGGGACCCGAAAGGATTCCGAGTTTGATCATTGTAAAATATTATAGTTAAGTTGCAGATCTGCTAGTATTAGCATTCAATGTGTGGCTGAATGTTTCAATAAAAATCTAATTGTTATGCCAATCCAATAATTATGATATGGTTTTAAAAAAATTGGGGTTAAAGAGCTGCCCAAGTTCGGGTTCGGGGTCTATACATTATTCAGATAACAAGTAGAGAAAACTATTTTCTAAATATTCTTCAGACATTTAAAAAAAAACATACAAAGAAACATACATAAAACCCCTATAAAAAATATTTATGGACAACAATTAAAAAAAATTACTAAAATTAAATTTGTTTTGTTAATAAAGGAAGAATTTGGGTCCACTCTCTGTCGAATATGGTAAACTGTCTTACAAAAGATCCGACTACAAATAAATGTTTTAAGTATCTACTTTCCGGGAAAAAGTTCAAGAAAATCATGATCCATATAACATCGTTATCAATGTAAACACTCTTGGCAAAAAATATAAAATTAAATTCAAGGACTCGGACATAAACGAAATTGCATTTTAAACGGTTAGTATGCTTTCATTTCCCTGGTATCTGGGTTGATATTTAAATACAAACCTTAAGTGAAAACAGATACGAAACTAAAAAAATCCAGGCATCTATCTTTCAACAGAATACCTACAAGGATATTATAAAAGTCCTGTTATAATGACCTGCCAACATATGGAGTGCTTGAAAGTCTTTTTTGACCGGGCGACCCATTCATATTGTAAAAACAGAGCAAAAACATAGGTTCCCAGGCTTAGAAAAACCACCAGAAATCCGCGGGCACATGCCTTCCAACGAGAGTGAAGAATATGTTCAACTTGTTAGCGCAGTGAAGCCGAATCCAGCAGTTGCGATTCTCCAGGATTCATTTTGGCTGCATGCAGCAATTAGATGCGGACACAAAAACTGCGACGCCGACGCTAATGAGCTGGGAACCGAAATGGTAACAAGATGAAAGGATACTCTAGGGTTGTCCCGGTCCCAAAAGGCAGTCATTTGCCCAGACGGCGCGACGAATACGCGGAGCTTCCAGTGAAACCCATCTTCATGGAGTGTTCGTGCAGTTTTTGGCAAAAATGTAATTCGAATTTTAATATTTCCACACTTGCCAACCCCCCTGAATTCAGTTCCCATGAGCCTCGAATTTGTAGCATGGCAAATTCCTACAAAGCGCAACGAATTCCTTGGGTGGTGGTGCTGCTCCCCCTGCGTTTTCCTTGGCTCGTTGCTGCACTCAAATGAGCCGCAGCGAATTGCGTTGATTTAGCGTGGCCAAATCCTGTTAGCCCCGTGCCACAAAAGCCAAGCCGCCAGCCAGGATTCTCACAGGACGTCTTGCCGCCTTATCGACTGATGTATCAATTGATGGCATCACTAAACGGCAAACGTTCTGCTCCGATCCGCTCTGCTCATTGTTCCCATGATGGGATTAGCATTTTATGGCTTTGTGTTCGCTGCTTGCCACTTGATAAAGACATTTTCCCTAGCTTCTTTCTCATGGTTTGAAGGGTGGGGTGAAAACAATTGCTGGAAAAGTTAATGTAACCAAATTGGTGGGGAGCATAAAGGTAAAATGATAAAGTGAAGGTGGTTTACCAGCCTTATGATAACCTCGGTTTCAATGTGGGATGTCTACACATCATTATAAAGTGCGGGATAGGAATTCCAATGTTAAAGCAGCTATGAAAAAAAACCATAAACTAAAAAGCGATTTTTTGGAAATACAATTTTGGTTCAATATGTATTATAGATTGATTTGAAATGTATTTAGATTTTTTGGGAACCCTTGAATAATAATGGTAGTGCTTAAAAGAAATAAAAGTTTAAGGCACTTCACATTTAGTTCTATTTCATTGCCCATTCCCAGACATCCCGTTTATAGTCACTTCGTCTGATTTATTTCCAGCATTTCCCCAATGAGCAATTCAGGCTTCCTTTAAAAAACAATTACAACTTCCGACGTCCTCGAAAACAAACAAGAGCCACCCACATGAGCTTCCACAGCCGTAAAGCGAACACATCGTCAAAATCACATTTCCTCATTTCATTTACCAAAAGGCCACCACATCCAGGATGGAAAGACAGACCCATGGCAGCCACTCACTCAAAACGACGCCCAAGGCAACCGCAGATTCGAGACCAAGGCGAAGGCAACTTCATAATAAGCCCCATCATTATCCTGGGTTGGGTGCTACATAATAGCAGCCATAATCACATTTCATATTTATCACATTTTTACGCCCACCATGGAGCAATACGGATCCGGGGAACTGGGAGTCTGGAAATCTGGGGGGATCCCATTGCGCCGCTTTGTTTGCCTTGCCTAACCTCGCAATTTGACCGTAAATAAATTGCCTGCTCATTTGCCAGAAGCGGTGCTGCGGTCCTCCACCCAGTTAACCATCCAATCCTCATCCAATCCCCTTGACTCAAAAGCCGTGTTCAAATACGTTTAAGCACAATGCAAATACCGTCATAATAGCAGGAGCAAGAAAATCCGACAGCTGGAGTAAGCCTGAGCCCTGGGCCTTGGCTCCGCCCCATCATGGCCATCATCCCCCTTAATGGCCCCCCGTGCGTATGAGTGATTTCTGCTCATCTGCGCTTAAAAGTATGCAAATTCCAGGGCGGAGTTGTTGTTTTTGACGGGATTGGGGGGATTGGTAACATCGCCGACGGAGGCGTGGGCGTGTCAGGAGATGACTTTTATTACATTGTTGTTACTGGTGGACTGGTGCCTGGCCAAAGTGTTTTTTAACTGCAGGCAATTTAATTTCCACTTGCTCCCGGTCGCTTTTAATTTCCACCACAGCCACTGCAATCAATGTGGTTTGAGTGTTTGCCCACTGATTAGCCCTGTGGTTCGGGACACTTAATTCCCTGCCACACGGAGAGAAACGAAATAATTACTCAATTTGATGTTTACAGATAAATATTATTTTCAGTTTTTTTTTTAAGTGATTCATACATATTTATTCCATCTTAGTAAAAGAGATAGTTTTGGTATTTTTGAGGTTTCCAAGTTAAAGATTTGGTTTACGATTAAAATTCCTTTGACATTTGAAGATTTAATGCATATAATATTTTTAAAACAAAAAGAATGGGATAACAAATTGTTTTATTATTTTTAACGGTCTTTAAACCTAATTCGATTTCTAGTTCTCACATAAAGTATAATAATACATATCTCCCTTACATATATTTATATTAATCATGGGTAATTTTAAGGATTTAAAATCTTTAAATGTTATAACTATTTGTTAGGCCTTTACACAAAGCATTAACTATAATATTATCTAAATTATAAGTATTGAATTTAATATTGTATGTATAAACTTTCTCCATATCTTGGATTCCTCCATATATATTGCTTTTTTTCGATGGTTATCTTGAATAACATAACATGTTTGACCTTAAATTTATTTTTGTCGAAGTTCATTAATAACATTAAATTGTTTTTCTTAAGCAAAAAATTCTACATAATGTAACACATGGTTTTTTAGATAGTAAAATTTAAGTTGATTATCGAATCCACCGGGAAATATTTCCTCTGCACCGAGCGCGGCACTATAAGAGTCCCTGAAAAACTGACAGCCAGCCAAGCCGCTTAAACTTTGAACTTTGTCATTTCAATTTTCGCCAAACGGATGCGCTTTGTTTCAGGCCACATCCACAGCCACATCCAGAGCCAGGGAATGAAGGAGACTGAGATTCAGACACTGTGGATGCAGGATGGCTGGTTGGCTGAGAAGGAGAACGAGAACATGGATGAGGATGGGACTGAAACTCGGGCCGAGGACATCCATGAGCCGGCCGGAAACATTGAGCCTGACAATGCGACTTTCATTTGCCGAAACTGCGGAGGAGCTCAGCCATTGTTTTGGCCACGGACAGGACAGGCTGAAGGCCTTTTGGCCAAGCCACTCCCGTTGCAGGAAGTTTTTCATGCGCCATGACACTTTTTGTGCGCTCTGCGGTGGCCATTTTGTGCCGTGGCAGGATACCTTTGTGCCAGGAGGTTCCAGCTTCAGCTGCAGCTCCTGCTCCCGCTCCTGTGTTCCATAGAAATTTTCGAATATTTTTTGGATGCATGGAAGCTGTTTGCCATGGCCAAAAGACAGGCGGCGGCTTACCGCACATACATATACATCCAGGAGCAGGAGCAGGAGCAGGCACATCCTTGCTCTCCATGGCCGTGTCCTGGCCGTAATTTATGATGTGCGCTTCCCTTTGCTCGCTGGCAGTTGGCAGTTTTTAGTTTCGCTGTTCGAGTTCTGCGGCTGTTTTCTGCTGTCATAACTTCGGGCCGCATAATTAATAGTTGTAAGCCGCAGCGACTGACTTTTTAGTTGGACCGATGCACAACTTTCGTGGCAGCGGATCCTGCGAGTCCTGTGAGTCCTGCGGCCGTTGCTTGCTCAATTAACTTAGCAGGTAGTTAATTTTCCGAAAAGCCGCAAGGCAACAGGAGTTCGGTGGTTGGTTCTTTTTTTTTGGGGTACTTGTTGTGGGTGCTAATTGATTTACGAGTGAATGTTTCTGTGGTCGCCATTTAAGCTGACTTTAAGTGTTGTCCTCCATCACTCTAAGGTTGTTCCGCATTCCACTTAATTTTGTATCATTCATTCATTGATTTACTGAAGCATGAAAGGCATTTGCAACGCAGTGAAGTTAAAGTGACTGGAAATACGCAATCAGTTTGCCACGCATTCGATATTTCGACACTTGTTTGTTTCAACAAGATATTTATATGTTGCTAGTCAGGGATGAAAATAGCACTAAAATCATCCCCAGTTCCATTGCCTATAAAATATAAATAAACTATGCGTATTCAAAGTTGTCAAGAAGGAATACGAATACAAAAGGTATTAAGCACATATGATCATTATTAAGATCATTTCATTAAATATGGTTCTTATTGTAAGAATTATTAAGTACTAATAAAGTTAAGTGCTGCATTTGTTTCGTCAAATAATCATTAAATCAATAAAAATCAGAAATAGATTTTCAAAGCAGACTATCCACATTTAAAAATTAT